GGAAGAGCTTAACTAGGAAATGACATGTAACTTGAAAAGCTAAAGGAAAAACTGATTAAAAAAGAAAAAAGACATTGCTTAGGATGCATGAGAGCTTAATGGGGACATGTTTAATTAAAAGTCTTTTCAAAACAAAACCAAAATAGATATGAAGTGAAAAAAGCAAGGAAGGAAGGACACTAAACAGGAACAGAGATTATCTTGTGAAGACGGCATCAGTAGGGATGTCTGAGTACTGGCATGTGTAAGGCCTGACTTACCGACAATACCTTACAGTGCCCTGCAGTCTGAGCAGGATTTAGCTATTATTATATTTAAAATTCATAGGAAAATATGTGGGGTCTTCAAAAAGTTTCTTGAAAAGGTACAGTATGAAAATCTATGCATGAATTTCAAAGTGTTTTGCAACAAAATAAACTTGTATTTTAATTCTATTCTTTTTCGGGAACTTTTTGAAATCCCTCGTTTCTACGTAAACAATTCAACACCATTTTATGTTACGTGAGAAAGGTAAAGAAAGTAAGTTCAAAAATCACCTCTGGGACCAGGCAACGGTGTAATGGTTATGTTGCTGGACTTCCATGTAGTCGACTATGGTTTGAGGTCCGGACTTGGCGGCTTAAACTCACACAGGGCCAGTGTGCGTGCATGCCCAAGATCCCGAGAGGAGAATGGAGGAGAAGGGATCGCAGCATGGCCATTCCCCCGGGGGGTGATTTCTCGCTTTCTGTCTCTCTGTCTCTGTCTTTCTGGTGAGCACACGCCCTATAGCAAAAACCTCTCCAAAAACAAAACACGAAAACCAAAAATCACCTCTTTGGTATGCTTAACTTTAATAAATAGGAAGAATCAGAAAATTCCGGAACCAAATGGAAAGTATCATAGAGGAGATTTTTTGGTGATAACTTAGACTGTTCACTAAGGAACAGTTCTAATGTTTTTCTCTCTTCTACTTTTATGACTGATGCAACAAAATAAATGTGATTATTCTTGACGTTAATGTGATCTTTGATTCTGTACTGTAAAAACATCCTTGTCAATCTGCCAGCAAACAGATTTTTGAGCAATGTTTCTCAAACTAGGGGCAGGTGTCACGGCAGTGTATGAGGAGACTGAAAAGTCCCAACGAAGTCATAGAATGTTTCCAGTGCTGGAAAATCTTCAGCTGCTCCCAGGAGGGGTAGGTGGGGCATGGATGGGCTGCTTGTGAGCACTCCTAGCCCCTCCTAATACCAACATGGCTCTCTTCTTTCCTGGTGTGGAGGGAAGCCACTGCCATCCTCTCCACCATCCACTTGTTTCTTAAAAGCCTCATCTCAATGAACTGAAGAGAACATGCTGCCCTTGTTCTGTATTTCAACCTTACGACAATGAGGACGATCATACTACCTCCTGCTTGTAGTTCTCGGTCAGCGAGAGTGATGTGACACATTTTTTCATTCAATGCCCTCCAGACCTTGCATGGAAGGTATCGTGTTTCTTTTATGGATAAAGAATTTTTGAGACTAAGGGGGTTTAGTTGGATACTACACGGTTGACTGCATGATCTAAGCTGAGGACTCAACAGCTTGAAAACACACCTGGCACATGTGCATGTGTGCCTTAAATCCCAAGTGGAGAATGGAGGAGAAGGACTGCAGGGTGTGATCAACCCCCCAGAGGGTGGTTTCTCACATTCTCTCTCTCTCTGGCATTTAGGCTCTGAAAATTAAATTAGGTATAAACATATAACAGTGCACACACAAAGTGTGTGCATGCACACATGCGTGCACGCACATACACACATCAAATAATGACTGAGTGCTTTGTGCCTCCTACACAGCACTTAGTGCAGGGAAGTGCTAATTGGGAAAAGGCACAACTAAGTAACAAACATGGGAGCCATCTAGAAAGGACTTCTGGTAAACCATGATGAACAGGAATGAGACGCCAATGAGTCTTTTTAGGTGTAATGACAACAGTAAGAATAAGGGCATAAGGCATGTTATAAAATGCTGGGAATGAATGAATAAGCGTATCGCAGGGTCCTTAAACATTTTATTTGAATATTACCTGGTTTCTGAGGCACATTAACAATAAAACCCGGTATTTCCTAGGCAATATTGCCAATGTACCAAACAATTTTGCATAGGGAAATAACGGTTCCGTTTCACATCACCTACTGATATTTCAATGGCAGGAAATCCTGACTTTCATTCAAAACAGCTAAAAATTACCATCGCATTTCCACTACAAAAATTTGCAGAGAAACCACAAGGTTTCCTCTTATGTCGATATTTACAACATTGGAACTGACTTCCTTCAGAGTCTGCTAATGAATACATCAAAACCCAATTTTCATTCTCTCCTTTTCTAAGAAGTATGGGGGGGAGGGCTAAAAAAGTTCATGGAAAATGTGTATTTTGAAAGCCTATGCACGAGTTTCAAATATTTTTTGCACCAAAATAACTCATACTTCATTTCCATTTTCCATGAACTTCTTGAAATACCTTTGTATATAATACTCTGCTATGTTATTCATCAGTCAGAAAAACATAAATTTATATTAAACACATTTCCTTGATAATTGTGCTACAAAAAAGTGTCATTGGAATCATTGGGTTACTGTAGGTTTATGCTTCTTAGCTAAAAATTGATCAAATATAGGAACCAGCAGTTAGTGTAATGGCTATGTTGCTTAACTCCCATGTAGTCGACCACGGTTCAAGTCCCGAACCCAGTAGCTTAAACACATGCTGGGTGCATGTGACCGAGATCCCGAGTGGAGAATAGAGAAGGGATTGTGGTGTGGCCAACCCCCCTGGGGGTGATTTCTCGCTTTCTGTTTCTGTCTGTCTTTCTGGAGAGTGCATGCACCCTATAGCAAAAACCTATCCAATAAAAAAAAAAAAATTGATCAAATATATATCACAAACCCATGAGGTCCATTCCGCAGTCTGAACTACGTTAGTAAAGTGATCTTTATATTCAGTAAAGCACTCAAAACAAGAGAACTTGGCTCCTTACCTGCTTTCGGATGTCAGGTAAACAGCCACAGTATCCCTTAGGGCACAGATTTCTAGTCTTGCCTGAAGATGAGAAAAGGACAAAAAGGCGACAGGAACACGTGTAATTACCAAGTATAAACAGCAGTCAGAGGAACAGTCTCCAGTCTGCTGACTACAAGACGGGGTTGTATGAAGCCGGGGAGCAAGACATCTTGTCATAAAGTACATAATGGGATTGGAGGTGGTACGGTGGTACAACACTATGTTCTGTGAGACCGACCCACATGGAAAGGATCTGGGTTTGCATCCAGAGACCTCCCTGAGTATATAAGGAAGCATATACCCATGAGGTGGGATTGGCTGAGGTTGGGGGGTGGGGTACATCATGGCGCCAAAGAGACCAACAGATGGAGTAATGACTATGTTGCTGGACTCCCATGTAGTCGACCACAGTTCAAGTCCTGGACCTGGTGGTTTAAACTTATGCCAGGTGCATGCATGCCCAAGATCCCGAGAGAAGAATGGAGGAGAAGGGATTGTAGTGTGGCCATCCTCCCTGGGAGGTGATTTCTCGTTGTTTCTTTATGCCTTTCTGGCAAGTGCACGTGCCCCACAGCAAAATAAAAAACTAACCAACCAACCAAACAAACAAACAAAAAAACCTCTTAAAAAAAATAAAAGACCTTGTTGAGGGGGAGTGCCTGTTTCTGTCTCTCTCTCCCTTCTCTCTCTCTCATGGAAGAAAGAAACTTAAAAAAATAGAACTAACCATGCAATGATTTCCCAATAATCTGTACTTAGCATCTAACCAGTAACTTTTCTTTTAATTTGGTTAAGAGAGGAAGGAGACTGTAAACCACTGCCCTTGAGTGTACTTGCCCCCTAGAGTTAGAAAATGGTGTGGCTTCCTCTCTCACTTCAGTGCCCTTCCAGGCACACTGCCTTAACCTCAAAAGTCAAACTAAGCTCTACGGATCTAATACAATCCCTATTAAAATCACAGCCCCCTTTTCTCTTCTCAGTGGAAACCAAGAAGTTGATGGTAAAATTCATACACGAAAAAATGCAAGGGACCCACAATAGTCAGAACAATCTTGACAAAGAACACATGCAAAGGACTAACACTTCCTGATATTAAACTTACTACAAACCTACAATAATCAAGACAGTGTGACGCTGTCATATGGACAGGCGTACAGATCAGTGGAGCAGAACTGAGAGTCTCGAAGTGAACTCTTGTATTTATGATCAATTCATTTTCAACAGAGGTTGAAAAATTCAAGATCATTCAAAAATGAAAAGAACAGTCTTTTCATCAAATGCTGCTGAAACAACTGGATCTCTTCCTAAACACAAGAGTGAGCTGTAAATGGATCACACACCAAAATGTAAGAGATTGAACTTTTAGAAGAAAATTAATACATCTTTAGACCTTGGTCTGGGCAAGCCTTCTTAGAAATGATGCCAGATGTATAAACAACAATAATAAACAAATTGTAATTCATCAAAATTAAAAACTGTTATAAAAATATTATCAAGAAAGTGAAAAAAAAAAACCCTATAGAATGAAATATCAATTCAAACTCACAGGAGTGGCTATAATAAATAAGAGATAATAACCAAGAACAAATATGTAAAGGAATTGGAACCTTCATAAATTGCTAGTAAGAAAGCATATGATGTAGCCATTTTAGAAAACAGTCTGGCAGTTCCTCAGAAGATTAAACATAGAATAACAATATGACTAGCAATTTCACTTTGAGATAACACTCAACAGAAATGAAAACACGTATCTATGCAAAAGTTGTACACAAATGTTCACAGAAGTATTCTCTGTATTAGCCAAAAAGTGAAAAAAAGAAAACCCAAATGCCCATCAACTGATGAATGAATAAATAAAATATAGTATATTTATACAAGAGAATATTATTAGTTCATACAAAGAAAGGACATTCTGTCACATGCTACCACATGGGTGAACCTTGAAACATTATGTTAAATAAAAGAAGCCAGTCACAAAAAGTCACATTTGTGTGATTCCATTTATGTGACATCTTCAGAACACTTAAATCATAGAAATATAAAGTTGAAGGTGGTTGGTTGTGTGTGGGAAGAGGGAGATAGGGAGGAAAAACGGTGGGAGTGTCTGCTAATGGACCTAGGGTTTCTTTTATTTATTTATTTTATTATCATTATTATTATTTTTTAAGAGAGATTTTTGCTATAGGGCATGTGCACTTGCAGAAAAGAGACACAGAGAAAGAGAGACAGAAAGTGAGAAATCACCCCTCAGGAGGATGGCCACCCTGCAATCCCTTCTCTTCCATTCTCCTCTTGGGATTTTGGGCATGCACACACATGCACCCAATGTGAGTTTGAAGCCACCAGGTCCAGGATTCAAACTGTAGGCAGCCATGTGGGAGTCCAGTGACGAAACTATTGTGCCATTTGCTGGTCCCTGGACATGGTTTTGTTTTGAGGGGGAGTGATGAAATGTTCTGAAATTGATCATGGTGACAACTGGACAACCCTGTGCATATACTAAAAATCAGTGAATTGCATACTTTAAAAAATATTGTAGACAAATTATATGGTAAATAAAATACGTGCGCATAATGTTTTAAGGGAAAAGGCAGCCTTTACTTCTGTTTAAGCTTGACATGTGATCTGACATAAAAATTGAGTTTCCTGGGGCCAGCAAGTAGCATGGTGGTTAAGGTGCTGAACACTCCCAATGTGAGTTTGAAGCCACCAGGTCCAGGATTCAAACTGTAGGCAGCCATGTGGGAGTCCAGTGACGAAACTATTGTGCCATTTGCTGGTCCCTGGACATGGTTTTGTTTTGAGGGGGAGTGATGAAATGTTCTGAAATTGATCATGGTGACAACTGGACAACCCTGTGCATATACTAAAAATCAGTGAATTGCATACTTTAAAAAATATTGTAGACAAATTATATGGTAAATAAAATACGTGCGCATAATGTTTTAAGGGAAAAGGCAGCCTTTACTTCTGTTTAAGCTTGACATGTGATCTGACATAAAAATTGAGTTTCCTGGGGCCAGCAAGTAGCATGGTGGTTAAGGTGCTGAACACTCCCACATGGCCAACCATGGTTCAAGTCCTGGACCTGGTGGCTTGCTTTCTCACTTTGTCTCTCTTTCGTCAAATTAAAATAAATGAATAAATAAATAAATAAATATTTTTTTTTAAATTGGGTTTCCTTGGAGTATTAGAGGAGCCTGTGATGAGAGCCATATCCATGTACTTTATTTATCCTACATAGGTGCTCAGAGTTAGCGTGAAATGCAGGAGTGCATTGCAAACAGGAGTGTATAAAACCTAAAACAAGGACAAAGGACACAGGTAACTCTTTATATGACAGCTAATTAGAAATCTATAAGCAACTTAGATAAAAGCTGAGTTATATCCAATTTAGTCTATGCAGTGACATTTTTCTGTTTGGAAAGAAACTGATTGGTTTCACCTTTCCGTGCTTTAGAAGCCTGAAAGATAGTTTGTAACTAGAAAGTGTGCATATGACAAGTACTGTCTCTACTGTTCATATTCCAGTGTACATAAAACAGGCCTATAAGGAAAATATCAAAGAGAAAAAAGGAGGTAGAACTTTTAGCTGAATATTCTAGAAGATTAAATCGCTGGAAAAAAATTGAACTTCAAATAGGAAATTATTCAATCAAAATGACAGACTATTTCAATTAGTCTGTGAATTATACCAATCATAAAAGTGATTTATATAATACATATAACATTATAATCCTGCAAATGCCATGCTAAAGGGTCAGCCAAAGAAATCATCAAGTTGTCACTCCCCTCCTCTCTAAACTAGTTCCGTTCTGTAGACTGGCAGGCGCTTTGTGTACATGACCATGAAACATTAATTCTCAGTCCTTTTCAGAATTATCTGCTCCAAAAAAAGAAGTTAGGATCACTATTCTCATTGGGCGAGGGTGAAGGTAGGGTCTTAGATTAAACTTTTTTCAAAATATAAATGCCTACCTAGTTCCTGGAAGGTATTAGAATACAGGAAGCTGATACAGTCAGGTGGCCAGTAGTCTCTTAGATATGTGAATATTAAAGAAGTTCAGCTGATCTTGGTATCTCTTCTAACCTCTCCCTGCTTGCTGTTAGGGAAATGGGTTATGGAGGAAATCTGCAGAGAGGGCAGATTTCTATTATAATTCCAAGGCTACTGAGGCTCACTGAAACAAGTTCAACTTCCTTTTAACTGTTCTCCTTTAACTAAACTATTATTATAATCGTAATGTTTTGACCTAGGCTATAATATCGAAAGTCTAATTAGTCAAGTTTTCAGAGAAAATTATTGGCAAGTGGAAATACAATGCAAGTTTTTGGATAGATTTTCCCCTAACCAAATTAGTAAGTACTCTCCACTCATTTTTCCTTAATATCTTATCATGAAAATTTTCGCATGTATAGAGACTTCCAATGAATTTTACAGTGTGTACCCACAGACCCTAACATTTATATTTCCTTATATTATCACACAGCTACTCATCAATTTGTCTTGTGATTTTGATATTCTTCAGCATGTATATCACTAACTAGAGTGAACTATCTGTTTCATTTGGGGAAGGGTGGTTAGAAATTATACACTATGAAAGACCTACAAATAGAATACGTTTATTGCAGTATTATTCATGATTGCTAAGAAGAGGAACCAACCCTAATGTTCACGAACAGATGAATGGATTGAAAAAGTGTGGCACATATACTCCATGGACAACAAGATCCTGGCATTTGATAGAAAGTGAACTAATATGGAAGAGTTATTGCTGAGTGAAGCAAGTCAGGCTATGAAAGAGAGATATTGTATGTCTCCACTTAACATATACCACCTGTCTGCACTCTATGGTAGACTGAAAGACTGGAGGGCATAAAAGCAGTGAAAATTGTTATGGACACTAGAGACAGTGTGGAAGGAAGGTGAGAGAGGAGGAGTGTGTAGGGAAGGAAATTAGGGAGAAAAATAAGACATTTGTGGGACACAGAAATGGTTTATTACCTGTTTATGATAATGTGTGTAGTATTCTCAACTGGACTGGTCTGAGGTGTATTTCATACTGAGTAAATTCTCTCTATAAACTAATTAATGCATAGCGATTGAATGTATAAAATGATAATAAAAATAAATAAATAATAAAAAAGAATTTAAACACTATGTAATGGACAAATCTCAAAGCACACTATTTGATGTTTTGATGGTTGCATATACCTGTGTAATGGAAACCCATACCAAGGTATAGAACCACCACTCTGCAAAGCTCCTCAATTCTTCTCCCCAATTTTTGGTTATTATGAATAGAATGGCTATGAGCATTCTCAAATGTGGTTTTTTCATGGACACATTTTCACTTCTAGGCATAGGATTAGAATAGCTGTGTCACAGGGTATGCGTACATTTAGTTTTAAAAGGAACTGCAAGAGCTGTTCCCAAAGGGGTAGTGTATTCTTTTAATATGCTCAACAATGTTGAGCGCACCAGTTCTTTACATTGCTGTCAACATTTGGTTTTATCAGCCTTTAATTTTCTTTATCCTGGTATCTTATTGTAGCTTAAATTTTCATCTCCCTGATAATTACTGATGCTGTATGTCGATTGCCCATTCTTACTCCTTGGAAATCTAATTACAAGGGTGCAAGACATGACCTTGCCCCAGGAGTCCCTGGAGCTGTTTATTATTTTTTTTCTCCAACTGTTCTTTTTTCTGTTTTTCATATTAGAATTTCTATTGGTTAACTGACTTCTTTCTTTGTCTTTTCTAGTCTGCTTTTATTCCCATCTAGGTTTTCTTTTTTTAAATATATTTTTTTATAATGATTGAGTATATGCACATGCATGTGAGAGTGAGCAATGAAAAAGAGAGAGTGAGAAGGTGAGAGTGAGCAGGAAAGAGAAGAGTAACCTTCACAAGGTCTGGTGGTCCCCTATGTCAGGTCCTCCTGCCTGTTAGATCTTGGGCACTCACACGCATGTCCAGCAAGTCTCAGGCTGACTGGGCCAGGGATTCTAACTGCAGTCACCACATGGGACTCAGCCTGTCAGTACTACTACACCCTGGAGACAACCCCATCTAGATTTTTTAAAAAAATTCATATGCTATATTTTTCCACTCCAGATTTTCTATTTGGTTCTCTTTTAAGGATTTCCATTTCTCTACTGAGATTTCCTATCTATTGATTTATTACAAATTCTCCTTTAACTGACTGAATACAACTACTTTAAAATCTTTGCTAATTCCACAACTGAGTCATCCAACTGGTTAGTTTCAGTTGACTGTCTTTTCTATGAAGAATGGACATGTTTTCCTATTGTGCTTGTGTTTTTCTTTTCTTTAATTTGTAAGAGAGTACAAGTATTTGCAGGAGTAAAAGAGAAAGAGAGAGAAAACAAGAAAGCACCGTCTATGGGGAATGGCCTCATCACAATACTTTTTCTACTCTATCTCCCTCTGAGATTTTGGGCATGGTCTGGCAGTTCCTCAAATCACCAGGTCTAGACTCGAACTACACAGTTATCCATTGGCAATCCAATCATCTTAACCACCACACCATGGGCAAGTCACTGGAGTATTTAAATTAAATTTATGTAAAATTTTTCATCTAGACTTGCCAATGCTATGTAATAGGGACTCTGGATTTTGTAGCATGCCTCTAAGGAGAGTTGATATTTTGCTTTATTTGTTTAAGCAAGCAGTTAACTTATTTAGACTCTAAATGAAAATTCTTGGCTCTTGGAAGCAGCTCAACTCTAACTTTAGTTCTTGTGGCTGGGCTGGAGGGAGTGAAGTTTGACCGTGCATATGTATTTAAGGGATCAACTCTAGATTCAAGCAGTGTATACAGAGTTCCTTGCTGTAGCTCTCTCTTCTCTAGGATACTTCTTGCAGTTTGCTTCAGCTGTAGCTACCACAAAGCCTACTATTCATGCCAGAAATACAGCAGGCTTTAGAATAGAACTTAGGCAGCCTTGGGTCTGTCTTCAAGATAAAACTCCTAACAAGTGCAGCATTCCTCTAGATTCTGCTTGCTAACTTTTTAACCAGGTGACTTTACGTGTTTGTTTTTAATTTTTAAAACATTAACTTTTAGATATCATTCAAGTTTATAGTTGTTATCTGTGGAGAGTTGGCCTGACGGAAGCTTTCTCAGATATGACTGACAGCAGAATTGCCATTGCTTTTTTCTTTTTTTTTTTTTGCTATAGGGTGCGTGCACTCGCCAGAGAGACAGAAAGCAAGAAATCACCGCCCGGGGGGATGGCCACGCCGCAATCCCTTCTCCTCCATATCTTGGGCACGCACGTACACGCACCTGGCCTGAGCTTAAGACACCAGGTCGGGGACTTGAACCGCGGTCGACTACATGGGAGTTCTGCGACATAGCCATTACACTAACTGCTGGTCCCAGAAAGACTTATTAAAAGTAAATTGCTAAAAGTTTCCTGTAGAATTGAATGTAGTGAAGACAAGTGCAAAAATCACATTTTTTAAAAAAGGAATTTGCATTCAGATTGTTCCAGTCTTACAGGTCTTGCTCTACTTTGAAGAAACAGAAACTTAGAAGTTTTACACCATGCATCATGGCTTATGCAAGAAAGATAATGCTCCAATCAGCATATCCACTAAAAAAGAAAAAAAGCTGTATACCATAAAATCGATGTGCAAAAATACATTTGTGTGTTTTCAATACAAGTTAAAGCCTAGAACTGAATGATGTTCATACCTGTAATGCCCCGTTTTTGCTAAAGGATGCAACACACTGCATCAGTCGACTGAGCTCTTCAGAAACTGCTTCCACCACCTTGGATAGTACCCGAGGCACCAGCTCTTTGGAAATAGTGAATACCTAATATGAGGTTTGAAAGAAGAAGAAGAAAGAATGCGTTATTGGGCTTTTTTTGTTGTTAAAAAACACAGTAACACACAATCCAAAAAATCCACAGGTCTTTTAAGACTTATTCTTTTTTTAAAGAATTATTTTACTTAACTTGATTTATTTATTCATTTATTTTAAATTGACCAGAGAGGGACAGAACCAGAGCAAGAGTAAGATCAAGAGTGAGTGAGTGAGTGAGAGAGAGAGAGAGAGAGAAAGAGAGAGGAAAGTGAGAAAGCAAGCCGCCAGGTCCAGGACTTGAACCATGGTCAGCCATGTGGGAGTCCAGCTCTTTAACCACCATGCCACCTGCCGGCCCCTTAAGTTGTATTCTTAAAAGATCAAAGTTATTAATGAAAAGATGATAGAACTATACTTAAACTCTCTTAGCTGACTAATGACAAAAATAATTCTCTTAATAATATATTATTAGCAAATATAATTTAGAATGTTAATGTTGACAAACTAAAACTGCTTTGAAAATTTCTTCTTCCTCTTGCTCCATCACAAAAATGAAATATGATTTCTAAATAAGAAATTATAGAATTAAAAACATATAGGGTCAATTTTTTACGGCAATTAAAAAGGAAGGATGGGCCAGCCAGTGGCATGGTGCTCTAAGAGGCTGGCCTTCACTTGGCGTACTTTGTGGTTTGAGTCTTGTACCTGGTGGCATGAAGAAAACATAGGTGTGTGTGCATGTGTGCCCAAAACCCCCAAAGGAGAAACCGAGAAGAGACTGCAGTGTGATCATCACCCATGGGGGTGAGGGGTGCTTTCTCTCTCTGGTGAGTGCAGGTACCATCTGGCAAAAATTAAAAAATAAATAAAAAGTACTGGGCCAACTCTCCTCAGAATATGACACACTTCGAATCTTAAGGGAGTACATTTCTGTATAGGACAAGAGTCCCAATTTTATTATATGCTGTACTAATAAAATATTTGACTCCCCTGATTTACAAATAAAATAAATCCTATTTTCTTTTAAGCTTGTCCTTTTTTCTTCTTCTTTCTTCTTTTTTTTGGGAGAGGTTTTTGCTATAGGGTGTGTGCACTCGCCAGAAAGACAAAGAGAGACAGAAAGACAGAAAGCGAGAAATCACCCCCCAGGGGGGATGGCCACACCGCAATCCCTTCTCCTCCATTCTCTTCTCGGGATCTTGGGCACGCACGCACACGCACCCGGCGTGAGTTTAAGCTGCCAGGTCCGGGACTCAAACCGCGGTCGACTACATGGGAGTCCAGCGACATAGCCATTACGCTAACTCCTGGTCCCATGCTTGTCCTTTTTTCACATGGAGCCATTAGAATTAAACTTTTGATTCAAATCAAACATTTAAGAAAGATGGAGAACATGAGCATTAAGGAAGTTGACTCAGTGGAAATCAGCATCAACCCTGACAATTTCACAGTCTGGAGTTCCTGGCCCACCTATCACCCAAAAGCTTTCACTTACAGATCATTTCTTTTCCTTTCTTTTCTTTTTTGCTATAGGGCACATGTACTCACCGGAGATACAGAGTCAAAGAGAAGTAAAGTGAGAAATCACCCCCCAGGGGGATAGTCACACTGCTATCCCTTCTCCTCCATTATCCTCGCAGTTTTTTGGGCATGCACGCCCATGTGCCAGCATGAATTTCAAGCCACCGGCTCCGGGATTCAAACTGTGGTTGTTCATGTGGGAGTCTTAACCACTCTGTGCCTTAACCACTCTGCCCCCTGCTGGCCCCTCACCGACTGATAATATGATTTCATGTTCTAGTTTCACAGATAACAATATGGCATTTTAATATTTTGGATAGAATTACAGTTAAAATTTTATTTCTCATTGCTAAAAAAACAGAACTTCATTTTTAAAGAGGAATTTATATGTTTCCTTTTTATAAAGAAAAGAAAACTACAATATACTATATTTTTCTCTTGGCTCTAGTTGCTTCAAACTTGTAGCCAAATTTGAAAATCAGGTAGCATTATCTTTGTTTTCTTTGGTGACTCTTTTAGCCTTAATTATCCATATTTTCTCAATTTGCCTTGATGGCCTCAGAGATTTTTGGATGCAGGAGGTGGTATAAATGTAAAGACACCAATACTGGATGCACGTAGTTTTAGAGGCAGTCAACAGCGGAAACTACTAATGGTAACATCCTTGCATTGTCCCATTCTATGTGGTAACCCATCAGTCTGTGACACAGCTGCACTGAAAGTTCTGGAGAGGCCATAAGCAATGGGTTGAAATTACTGAGTGAAAACGAGTAGTCACGATGGTGATCCAGGTGCTAACTATGGCTCTCTGCTCCTCAGAGGAGTCTTTCTAACTTAGGTGTTAACTTAGAATGTTAGTATCAGGCTTATGATGATAATGCTTCAAGGGAGGGCAAGTTTTTGCATGAACATAAGCAGCAACATGTACATGTAGCCAAGTCAACTACTGACAGGAAATCATGCCTCTGCAGCAGACCTTTCTCTACCGTTCTGGAATCCTGATCACTGTGAGACCACATTGCTACAGGAATGAGACACCAATGCTTCTTTGTGTTCTGGCTCAAAAGGGGTTAATGCATCTTCCAAGATAAGAGATTTGATATTCTTTAAAGAAAAAAACAAATCCTTCCAATCTATCTTCTCTTTACCATTTAAATATTGAATTTAATTTTAATTATGAGAAAAAACAAGCAATTTCAGAGACTCAAGAGTTACACACACACACACACACACACACACACACACACACGCACACACGCACAGAAAGCTGAGTTGCATTTATACCCAAGATACTTTCTGAAGAGGGAAGATCACCATGAAAATAAAAATCAAACGTGCCTTTCTTTTTCTCACGTATCCATATCTCGCAGGAACATCTAATGATAGCTTACCTCGGCATGCACGGCAATTATATTCACCAACGCTTCTTTTAAATAGTTTCTGACACCTGAAATCAAGATGGGGGAGGGAAGACGGCAGTTAGTGGAAGCAGACCCCGCCCGCCTGGGCTGCACTGTGATGCTGCCTTCGGGTTTCCTGAGGAGAAACAGAAAGTAACACCACCACTATCAATTTCCTTTTGAGAACCAAACGGTGAAAGGACTATGTTCACACAGGTCAAAAAAAAAAAAAAAAAGGCTACATGAGTTAGGAGTTTTCTGTCATTTTTACATTTCTGTCACTCTTTATGGTCTCCATAGCTGTTGGTCAGTTGGACTTGAAAGTGAAATTTTAAAGTGACCTTTACTTCTTTTTGGTATACATATAATATACAAAAAATTAACACAATAACAGAAAAACACAGAAGACTGAGAAAGATGTTTAACGAAGTTTATAAAATGTACATCTATCATAGCATCTTACTCCTAACATGAGTCAAATTATTATGTGGAATAAATATTGTGACCTTAAAGAATCACTTTGAAGGGAGACTTTTCACAAAACCATACCAATCTGATCCTGTGAAGCAAGTTATAAAAGATTGCATGAAATAAAAGATCTCAGATTTTAGGTATAAGATTTCATTCAAAAGCAGGCACTCAGAAGATTTAAAGAGTACAGGATCGGAAGTTGGATGATTTTGGATCGAGCAGCAGTTTCAACATGTACTATCTGTGACTTTTTGGCAAGAAGACCCCGGCTCTCAGTTTTCGCATCTATCCAATAAATACAATAATCCCACCTGTCTTGTAGGGTTGTAGTGAGGATTAAAAGGGATGATGTATGTAATAGGTCCTATTATTCACAGTGCTCATTAAGAGTTTTTGATATCATTATTTTGTAAGAAAAAAAGCAAAACCAAAATGTTGCTTTATTCTAAATTGAAAACAATATCTTTCACTTGGAGTAGAATATTTTGGAATGCCTTCTAGAATTAATTGCACACACTGAGAATATCTTTTCTATAGACTAGGAAAGGGCTGCATTGTGAAATCAAGGGTATTAATGATAACAACATTAAGGATAATCTCTCAGAATGTCATCCACGTCACTGATTACTTTGGAAAGTTGATGCAGAGACCCAGAATGGTAAGCAACGTTTAAGTTGGCATTTGTGGATTCTAAATATACAGGTAGCTCTTCATTCTGTCACATACTGTGGTGTATAAATAAGTACACCGCTTTCTTTTTGAGGAGCCAATTTCATATATTTTTGGGGGACATGAAGATTCAGGTGTTATTCTATTTTGTCAATAATATAATTGAGAAGAATGTTGAGTGAAGAGTAATTAAATACAACCCAGAAATGGATTCTTCCTGGGAAAAGGGCTAATTACATGGTAAGAACTCTTACTTGGGAGAAAGGAGAGAAGAACCATAAGGAGCCTGCTACAGGCAAAAGTGAAAAAACTAAATTGTGCCCACAGAACAGACGAAAGCTGCACCATGGACGTGTCCCCTGGATTGCTGCAGTCAGAGCATCAGGGGACCTCGCCCCACAGTACAGC